TCACTGAACGAATGCACACGAATCACACGGCTGAAGCTCTTTTGCAGCGCACAGCTGAAACATGGGGATTTCGGATCACTTCAAACGGAATGAAATAAAAACGGACTCTTCTTGACGTCCTTTGGATCTTTTGGATTCCTTCTTCGAAGTATCGCAAATAAATTTCCATTCCAAACAGATGAAGCACTTTGCTTCGCAAGTTCTCTCCGCTCGTACCCCATTTTTCTTCAGCTATGCACTTCTTTCGTTTTCGTTTATTTTTTTTTTCAAGCTTTGCTGGAACTGAAGGACAGAACGCAGTAACTTCTCCGCACTCAGGAAACGACGCAAGTGATTCTTTCCACTTTCCACGCGACGGCAGTCAGCAACACTGTAAGGATAGGGTACTATGCAGTACCAAGGTAGACATGGATCATTGGAATCCAAATTTTTCGATTTTTCGAAAACCACCAGAGGGCTTTTATAGTCTCTTCATTGCTATATCCTTTGACAAAGACGTCAAGTTCACGTTGGTTAACTATGAAAAGAGACACCTTCTTCCATCCAGGCGACTCCGCCACAACTGCCCTGCAACTCACTCTGCATACATTTCTGTTTGAGCAACTGGATGAAATGTTGAGGCATCTTTCCAAGACTCATCAACACCGTATGAAACATGAGAACCAAACGCGTCGATCACACCTCGATCACTGGGGTCGAACACAACTCCATGAACGGTGCACATAGCTTAGTCGCCAAGGCCAGGTTCTCATGCGGCAACAGTTAGGGCCACACATGGAAATTGAGTCTTTTCCATCTTAAGGGACCTAGGGATGCCTCTTTCATACCCGTCCAAAACGTCGGCATGGCACCCAGCTGCACTTTTGACAACGTAACATCACACCTGTCGGCCTTTCCCACGGGCTTTCCCAGACTCAACAATGCGAGGCGAAAACCTCGTTAAACTCCACCATCCTGCTGGGCTTGTTGGGAACCTTCACAACACCTTTTGTAGATTCACTCAATCCAAAAACGACGCCCAACATCTCCGCACTCCTGTCGAAAGGAAACTCCTCGCACAGCAAGCATTCAACACCAGCATGGATGCAAATGCTCTTGCAGCTTCTCCAGTATGCTCCGACAAAACATTAAACCAACACAGGAAAATCGCCGTAATAATTCGTCCAAGAAGTGTCCATCACAAGACTCATCCTGTGGGACGCCCGCTCAGTGCGATTAAAATGAAGGACAGATGCCACACTTCGAAGTGAAGTGTTTTGGACGCAGACCCATTGCCATGCCATCTCTCGGTCTCTGCAAAACCAAAACGGAGAATTTCCTGTGCTCCAGAAAATAGAAAACTGCTTATATGCCGCCTTCAGATCTATTGTCTTGGCGACGGCTGTGTTGGTTCAGTTGGGACATCTCTCCGCGCTTTGTCAACTGGACCGGGTAATCTCAACCAGAAAGCAGCGTAAAATCAAAACGTTCCCAAGGCTGAGCTGCAAGTTTTTTCAAAGACAGCAACCCATCCAAACCATCTCATTAGGGCCTTAATGTCATCTAACGCTCTCCACTTCGACCTCTGCCAAACTGCAAAACGCCTAACCCGCAGCCACCGATGTTCATACAAAACATCAAGCTCATCTCGAGAGTATGGGACCTCAAGCCAGCCTTTGTCAGTGAGCTCTTGCATGGTCATATCACAAAGGTCTTAGTCGTACTCCGCTTTGGGGCTGGATTGAACTTTGCCCCACGGACAGGCTGCAAAAACTTAAGTTATTTCGCCGGATCTTCCTCTGTAAGTGATCCCGGTTTGACATCCGCAGCAAAGATTCCAAAAGGATGTTGTAATCCTATCAACTTGAAACTTGAATCCATCTCGAACATCTTGGTGAATGTGCTTGTCTGGCCAATCGACCTGTACGGCAAATCTTTCCAGCAAGGCCAATGCTTACCCTTCAAAACGCTAGCACAAACCGGATTCATGTTGCCAAAGGTTTATTGGTTCTTGCAAGCGGCTCATCTGCAAGGCTCCTCCAGCTTTTTTTTTAAATCGTCTCTTCATAATTTCCAGAGATGGACAACTTAACACATTGCAAACAGCTGTCAGGAAATAATCAGGGACGGCACGAAACGAGTGCACGAAACAAGTCCAACGGGTGTTCATACATCTTGTCAGTTGAGTACACTGCGGGATTGATCTGTATATTCCAAAATTCGAAGAACAGCATCATCCTCACCAGCTTGTCCCCTTTTTGCTTTAGCCCATCAAAGTAATTTGTTTCTTACGTGAATACCATGATAGGTTTATCTTGGAGCGAAGATCGTACTGTCTTCGCTGTATCAATTCAGGCAAAAGCGGTGGTAATTGACGACCCGCTTGCTTGTTGGTTGCCATTCTTGCATCCACGTTAACTGAATTGGAGTGAATTCCTGATTAAAATGACTATCAGGAAAACCGCAATTTGCCAGAATAGTTGCAAACCTTTCTCATAACAGCTTTGGATACGCGGCTTCTACTTTATTAGTGTCGAAAACGAATTTGCCATCCTCATTGTGTGTGACCATGGGAGGTGCTCATGGTCATCTCAATGCTCCATCAGTGTCCGGAGTGCTAAACCAGAAACAGAACGCCGCAAGAGAATTGTAAATAGCATTTACGGGATGCAGTTTGTCCCCGAGCACGCCAGTAATCCATGGAAATCCCATATGAACATCTTCAGACTTGAGTGGAGGTGCATGATTTCCATCGGCGAGTGGCATTCCTCTTGCTCTCGATGCCGTGCCACAAGGAGGCGCAGCATGGAAGTGAAGCGTCTTGTTTCAGAACCAAGTGTTCAAGAAAATCCAAGTTGATTGCTTCCGCAAATCCGAATATAATTAACAACGTGCACAAAAAGGCCAGTCAGCAAATACCAAATCCTGCCCTCGAAGCACATGCTGAGCATTGCGCTCACAAAACAAACTTCAACAAAACGCGACGCCTCGGCCAGGTACCTGAGAGGCTTTGCATTCAGCTCCACTTTGGGTTTGAATGCAGTCTCATCACGTTGGTGATTGTCAACTTGCGGTGATTCTGCACTTTGCAGTTCACCGAGCTCCGGGCTCTCACCTTCGGGAGATAGTCAACCGGATTGGTTCTTGGAAGGGCAGTTGATGAAAGCATGGTGTTTGCCACACTTCGGGAGCGCACACACGTGAAATCCGCGGTCACATCGACCATTTGTCACCTTGTTGGAGCATGTGCCAAGATTAAATCCATAACATATCGCATCACCAGAATTCGTCGTTGCACAACAACCATGGTTCAGCAAAACATGTGGCATCTGAGAAGAGGTTTTGCTCTTGCTCTTGCTCTTGCCCTTTCCTTTCGAAGGGGTGTGTTGCTTGTATGGTGCAACACGACTGGAAGATGACTTCTCATCTACTTTTGGCTCAAAGGACTTTCCCATGAGCGGCTGCAAAAGGTGCATAACCTCGGCCTTGTTCATACACTTTTCGAACACCAAATCAATTGGCCTTCCGCTTGTTGTAACTTGGACACCATGGCGGGTCTCATCAGCGAGTTCCTCAAACAACTTCTTATCTTCCTCGAGCAATTGACGAAAAGACGTCTTTGCATATCCATGTGGTGGTGTTTGAAGTCTTACTTTAGTCAAACGATCCACCCGCAGCTGATGAATCTTGAAATCCAACAAGTTAGCTTGGTCCATGCTCAAGCCACGCCTTTGCAAGGCGTACTGCAGCATGATTTCCGTTGATGTATCTGCTATGGGGTCCTGCTTCTTGCCCTCGGCCTTCAATTTGCCACTTGAGTCAACTGCAAACAGGTGCTCAGTTCTTACATTTTTATTCAACTCAGCCTCCTTGGCCGTGTATTTTTCCCAAGCAACAATTCGAAACCTGTTTGCTTCATACATCGCACAAAAGACATCCACCAACGCATCACTTGGCTCAAGAGGTCCCTTTAAAATCAGACCTGTGATACGTTTCACCTGTCTCTCATACAAATCTGCACGTTCAGGTTGGGTGAGTTTCCTTGTATGGACATCCTCACTCCTTTCGAGCTGCTGCTTCATTTCTTGAGTAACAAGGGAATAAGCTTCATGAAGTAGCTTACGAAACGGTGCAAGCCCAGAAAGGCCAGTATCGCGACCTAGAACTGGCTTCAAGGTTCTCACAAATTCCGAATCGTCTCCTGATCCAGGCACATACGAACTTGCAAATGCAAACTTCGACAAAGTGTCCAGCCTTGCGTCAGAGAGCTTCTCAAAACTTGCTCTGAATTCCAGCCGCAACCGTTCGGTCTTTGAACACAGGTTTGCTGTCTGCAAACGCCATCACACGAGACTGAAGTGCTGGCACTTGTCGAAAGTTAAAAATAAAAATGAATTAGAAGAAAATCAACTAAGTCATGAGTGGAGTGTCAGCTGGGGTTCATTGCAATATTCCAATATGCATCGCAACTGGCATGACACGAATCAAAATGCATGCATAATGTTGACAGCTTGTACACGCGAGCTAGTCTCGACGTCTCGACTCGTTCCTGGAGCCTACAAATCACTGAACTCACTTGATTCTGGAACCAGGTCGCCATGCAAACGCATCGAAAAACACCTGTGATTCCTCAACGGCACATTGATGCAGCCTTGATGTTCATCTGCCATGACGCGGTTTTTTATGCAATGAACACAAGACACCAAATTGAAACCTATGCGTGCTAAGCATTTCGTGAAATCATGCAAACAGTCAGAAAAATCTCACCGGCATCATGGACTTCTTTGTGAAAAGGGCAAACATGAAATATAAAGGAACTCCAACCCTTTTATGCTAAGATCACCACCAAATCATAGTCCTACTTCCTCCAGAACGAACTGCCGACTCCAAATTCTTTTGCTCAAAACGCACGGTTTGAGCTTATAAGTTTCTTTGGACTATGCATGGTTTCACATCAAGTGTTTGATTGAAGCTCGCTCTATTGAGGTCGGAACGACTGCAGCTCCAGACCATTGCAGACACTATGAGATGCCCGATTCGCGTTCAAAGCCGTCACATCGCAAACCAAGCAAGTACTTCAAAACGGGCTCCTTCTAACTTGTTGAAACACTGCTTGCAAATGGGCAGGCGTGTCCGAGGTCTGGACGGAATTGCAATGTAAAAGCATGTGATATCTCTGCCACATGAGAAATTGAGGCCATAATCGTCTTCGGAAGTGCAATGCAATGCGTGTGGTGTATCTGCCACATGTGAACTTGGGACCAGATTGGTCCTCCTGCAGGCGTATGGTCCGAGACAGGTTGGGATCTGGAGCAATTCTCCGTCCCTGATGGCGTCCAAAATAACATCGATCTCACGAAGAGCGGCACTTGTGTTGTCTTTCCATAAGTCAACATTGTAGACATCTTGTCAGCCACATAGTAGCCCATCAGCCTGCGCATGTCTGGAGTGACTCCCCATTTCGCCAACCACGACAGGCAAGTGGACTTGCATGAATGGGTTCCAAGCAGTTGCATCCTGGAGTCTTGGAGAACCTCACCAGTCTGCCGAAGGATACGCAACCAACTGGTTACTTCTTCAGCTGTCCAATGAAGCGGATGCCATCCATCTGGTGTCCTGACTGGCAGCAAAGGTTTCCCATGTCCAACCTGTACCCCTGCTTCGGCCAACACGCTCTTCCAAGCTTGGCTCCAAAACTCACTTGAAACTCCATTCGCAGTCACCGCCACAAGAAGCAACCTGACCTTATCTTCCTCGTGCTGCATAAAGGAGTACACAACTTCCTCAAACACTGGAAAGGCCTTGAGCTGTAAGTTGGGGCAGTAGTGCAAAAACCTCATCATTGGATCTGCACGACTATGAAGAGTCGAAGTGCTCTTGCCTGCAATTTTTTTCTTGGGATCATCTTGCAAGCGTCCTTTGTTGAGACCAGAAATGACCAAGTTGAAATAACATATGCAGACCACAAAGAACATGGGGTCGGACATGACCATCCGATGCCGTTTGGCCAGCGCAGCATTACGCTGGGAATCCAGCATTGCATCCCACTCAATCTTCTGAAGTCTGCAAAGCAATTTTTTGCAATGCACGTCAAAAACGTTTTCCTGTCGGTCAAGCCCTGTAAAGTCTGCAGCGTCTTGCAAAACTGGAGCTCTGCACAAAGGAGACATGCCAATTGGGCCAATTGGGAATGATGCCCTGTTGTTCTCCCCAAAAAAAAGCACATCTGCCACGGATATTTATATGCAGCACGCTTCATATTGCACTCACAGAACTGTATGTGTTCATGAACTGCAGTGTCAAAACTTCGTTTATCCCCTTTTTCCACATCGTGCATCAGATCAGGAGTCATCTGAGCTATCAACAATGCCAGCACTGGACAATGAAATGTCGACGAAGGCAAAGTCATTCGATGGTGCCACAACGCTGTATTATAATGGAAGTCCAGACACTCATCATGTACTTCATCCAACGCCAGCGCATTGCATCCCTGCTTGAAGCAGCATGAAGACAAAGGACATTGGGTAAGCAAAAACTGGTCAGTACCAGCTGTGATAGGCGCATCTGTGCCGATCGTGTGAACCAGCTTCGTCGCAGTATTCTGGGCATTGAGGAATGCCGCATCCATGACTGCATTGGTTTGGACGAGAAGCACCACTAGGCGTTGTAGGGGCCGGAGTTTCAGTGGGACCAGCATGTCCTGAAGACGCAGCCTCTGTTGAGGCAGGGTCCACATTGGTGGCACTTGTATCTCCGATGTCCGCAGACACCGTCAAAGGTATCGAGAGGCGTCTCGAAAATTCACACAACACTGCCAGCGCAAGGGCGATCAATTGATCAGTTGGCAGTTCTGCCACCTTGCGCAAATCCATCAGCGCCCTACAAAATTTTGGGGAAAAGGGTTTCTTAACCCACCGCACCCACCACTTGAACTTGTGAAATGTCCATGGACATAAAATATTACTTCTCATGAAATTATGACTTGTAACATGTAAGACATGATCATGCAACATGTCGTGAAGGTTTCTTGACCATTCTTGTGTTCAACAGTTTCTTCTTTTTTTAAATAACTTTTGTGAAATAAAAACGCACTTTGCAGAGTTGACCACAAACCGGACAGCAACACACAAATCACTTTGATTTGCACAGCGCAGAGTAAGTGTTGGCTGACATACTAACATATACTCTGACAGGATGAACATGTCATCACGCACTGACATAAATTCTGACTCTTGAAGAAGGGTGAAGAGAGAGGTTTTTGGTTTGGAAGAAAGTCCAGGGGAACTTTCATACACAACACCTATGTCATAAAACATCATGAGTTTTCAACTCAAGTATTGCAAACATCTCTAACAGCTTCATCATCGCATAGATCGCCGTCCCCCTTTCAACGTCTGATCCATCCTAAAGATCTCGGAGGTGTGGTATGTCTTGTTTGAGTCTTTATCATGACATGACAGTGCAATGTGTCTGCAATCATGGCATCAGACTCCCCTGGAAGATTTTCCGATTACTTAAACTCAGATTCCGTCCGAGTTTCTTCCCAGGTTCTCATCATGTGCCATGACAACACAATCAAAAAAAAAGTTTGTGAAAACACTCACAACATCAAGTTCCATGTTTCAAGCAGCAAAACTCAAGTCATGTACACAACAACTCAAACATGAGAAATATCGCAATCAAGCCAATCATATCAAGAACAACTTCAACTTTTCTTCATGATGTCTCCCTCAGATCTGCTAGCAACTCCAAGTTCTGAATGCCTTCAAGAACGTTGCTCTCGCTATCGTCATTGAGAGACATATGACAGCGAAACGAACTTCAAACCAAAACCAAAATATACAGACTACTGTGTCACTCGGTGTGTCTCGCCCCCTTTTAAACTCAAATCCGATGCCTGCGCTCAGCCATGCCGTCATTTCTGAAAACAACAAGTGAACCTCGAGCTGATAAAATCAACTATTCTCTTGTCGTTAAACCAGGCGAATTCCAGTGCCTTGGGCACTCTGCTCAGGGATAGATATCAGGGGTACACCCTGCGGTATTCCCGCGTCCCCTGAATCTGCATATACCCCAGAGGGGAGAACGCTGCAGTCCCCGTCAAAGGATCGTGACATGGTGTGGGTGAAACAGCTCTGACACGTCCCGTGACCTCCTCGATCACCTGAGTAGGTGGCGACTTCATGTCCTTAACCTCCAAACCCAGGGGATAGCTCATCGGAACTTCGCCCATCCGCGCCGGGCTATACCCTGCAAATCGCACCGTCTGCAATGTTGGTGGTGCTGGAATTGCCGGCCTTGGCGGAATCGCCGGAGGCGGTGGAACACTTGTGCCGGGTCCAGCTGGTGCCATGGCTGGAGTCATAGGAGCCAATGGCGGATCCATAGGTGCCAATGGCGGGTCATACGCCGGGGGAATTTCTGCCGGTGGCGTTCCCCTGATTTCTGCCGGTGGCGTTGCCCTTTCGATTCTTTCTGCCACTAGCTTGAGGTTCTCCTGGAGTTTATCCATGCTCTCCTGGAGTTGCGACATGATGTCTTGTAACGACTGATCCCTTTCCAGGCGACCCTTCTTGTTGTCACGGAGGGTGTCCTTCATCGAAGCGTCGAGCGACCACTCAACATGCTTCTTGAGCTTGGTAAGTTCACCTACCATTGCTCCAACCCTGCTGGTGTTATGATTCACCCCTGCAGCAAGGGACTCAGAAGCACGTGCCATGTTGGTAACGGCTTCTCCAACAGCTTCCAGGGATCTGCAAAGGTCAGACTGCAGAGTATGGGTGCTCTTAATCAGGATCTCAAGTTTGTCCGTCGATCCCTTCGACGCCGCGACCATAGACGTGATTCCCACAGCCAAGCCTGTGGTAGAACTCAACAAGTCGGCCGCCTCGTTGGGATCAAAGGACTCATGATGCCTTCTCAGCCTCGGAGATCTCGATCTGTCGTCATCTCTTCCAGCATCTCCTTCATCCTTGTCTTCTCCATCCACATGGATAGTATCCTGCTCTTTCTCTTCCTCGGAATCCGTCTCAGCCACTCCTGTCTGTGCTGTCAACGGTGGATTCTCAGACAAGGGAAGCTCTCCCTCTGCCATTGGAACTGCTGGGGCTGCTGGAGTTGCGGAACCGGCAACGTTCGCTGCCATGAATTGCTCAAGTCTCCTAGGCAAGGCCTGATGCACCCGCTGGGATAAGCCGGGACCCAAATACAGCTTGGGCATAATCTGCAATTCAACTTGACAATCCCTATAATGACCATGCAGACCACAACTCAGCCATTTCATGCCATGCCAGGCACAAACTCTCTCTTGTTCATCCTAAGGTGCGTGACTCACACCTTAACAGATGAATTACACTTCCGACAAAGATCACACTCAATACTACCCCAAGATGCGTGCCGCACATCTTGACAGGTAATATGTGATCGATCAAACTCCAATATCTCAGACCAAAAACAAAAAACTTGTGGCAAACCGCAAACTCAATCCAAATCCAACTGTCTGCATGCACAACTCTTCACAAAACTGCAAAACAGATCACAGTGGTTTCCACGCGTATGAAACCCATAGACATGTCATGCAGCAAAAATGAAAACTCATGCAAAACTCGTGACAGTTTAAAAAAATCACACAAACTGAGTTCCACAAGTCCAAGTTCTGTCCAGTCCGAAATCGTCCAAAACTCTGAAATTCCAAGACATCCCAAAATTGTCATCTCACTCCAATCTCAGCTTGACAGCTCTTTCACCACAGCTTTTGCCTTTCGCCTCGCTGCTATCGTCGGCTTCCAAGTCTAGCATTACCACCCGACTCGGTACCATTAAAATTCTGTACATAGAGGAGATATATATTGTCCTCTATTTCTTTTGTGCTCAAATGATTTGGTGAGCCTCCTTAGAAAATCTGTATAGCAGATTCCCGCACTGGTCATACTCTTCGGATCGCATCGCTCCCTGCCAGCGGTACTCATTGGGTTTATATTTCAAGAGAACTCCCGACTCGGCCTTCTGAAGATAGCCGATGGCGGTCACTTCGACCTCGACCAAGACATAGTCTTTGGCACAAAACTCACCCTTTGGACCTTCCGGTGTCCAATCATTGAAGTACTGAGCACGCTCGACGGCAGCAACCGGGTCTTTTCGTAGTCCAAACCTTTTGGAATATTCGTCAGGCTGAACCTCCTTCCCATTGTTCAAGTCCTCAAACTGCTTAGGAGTCAATGCCAACCAAAGACGAATGGATTCCATTGCCGTTGATGCCATGGTATCTCAAAGCTATTCCGAGGACAGCTGAAATGCAAAAACACTGAGCCAAAGTTGTCTTATAGTAAAACAGCAACGGTGGAATGAAACCTATACAAACATGAGAAGTCCAGACAAAATGTCACGTCAAGTCCAGCATAATAGACAGCTCCATACTTCGTCTCTCACCTAGACAGTATGTCGAGCTACAAACTGACAGCACATTTACATTCATTTCAGTCAGTCTCACGTTTCGGAACCTATGCAAGTCGTAATCGCCCCTGCCGTCCAGTTCCCTACGTCTCTTTCTCTTCTACTTAAATCTGTTCTCTGAGCCTATGCACGTCTGCAATCTAGCTCATGTGTGAACCTTGCAACGTCTTGCAATCTGGTCCACGTTTTGACTTTCTACAACTTTTCCTTTTTCTTTTGGAACCTATGCAAGTCGTAATCGCCCCTGCCGTCCAGTTCCCTATGGACCTATGCAGCGCCTCTGCCATCCAGCCCATTTCTTTTCTTTTCGGTTGTAAGTCAAAACTCTTCAACTCAAAAGAAAATTGCAAATCTCAAATCCCAGATTCCCTCTCTTGCTTTGCACTCTGAGCAACACGCAAACGCACAAACTATACTACCGTTCTACTTCCTCTCAGGATCCTCTGCAAAGCCCAAGTGCTGTAGATCTCGCAAAACTCCATGCCAGCCTTCTGGTAGTACAAGATGTCCACTCAACATGACCCAGGTTCGCAAAGGAAACCATTCCGGAGTCGACCAACATCACAAGCATCTTGTTCTCAAACTACATCTCTACCAAAGGAAATGCCACAACCATCGTAGGCAAACCACACTGGCAATCATTGCTATAAAGACCATAGAGCTCGTCTCACAGCCAAACTTGGC